CTGTTATAGCGTGGGTGCCCTTGCTCGGGGAGACCTCTGTTATAGCGAGGGTGCCCTTGCTCAGGAGACCTCTGTTATAGCGTGGGTGCCCTTGCTCAGGGAGACCTCTGTTAAGGAGACTGACGGCTCCTGCAGCCTACAATGTGCCTAAAAAGTTGTGGTGGCCGGCAGCCCTGCCCATGCAGCTTCTGTGGCTTGTCCTCAGATAATTATGTGCTTAGGACTTTTAGTTTTGGTGTTGAACTTTTCTACTTCCTCCCTCCCATATGGTGGGTGCCACCTTTGGCCACGATGCCCTTGTTTTCGCTACTGGGAGTTTGTAAGTTCTGAGTTTTGTCTCTGGGTACTGTGACTAAAGGTGTGTGAGACAGTCTGAGTGGATTTTGTGATGTTTCCTTAGTCTGTTCTGGGAATTTCTCTATCAGTGAACTATTCTAGCAATACAGGGTCTTGGATATCTTTGGTTGAATTTATTCCTAGCTACTTGGTGTTTTCTTATGTTAATTTGGTTTTTAGAGACATTTTCTCATCGCATCTCCCTAGCTGGCCTGGAATTCCTAGGTAGTCCAGGCTGGCCTTGAACTCAAGAGATAAGCTTGCTTCTACTAGAGGGTAGGATTAAAGGTGTGTTCCCCCATGGTCCCACTTAATAACTTTTTCAAATTTGAATTTTATGTTTGCTGGTGTATTAAAAACAGGGGATTTTTATCTAGATTTACATAGCTTCAATTCTTTTAAATTCTTTTAAATTTAATTCTTTTAAAAGTTAATTTGTTTGATAAGAAAATCAGTATATTTCAAAGATTTTCTTCTCATTTTTTCCCTCCTGTCATATTCCTGTTTCTTTTTTATTTATTCTTATTATTTGGATTTTAAATAGATTACTTTAATAAGCATACTCCACATCCTAAAATAATCATCACTATAAATGTATGCCGGATTTTCAGCATGTAATTTTAATAAAATGCTGGGTAGTTTGGCCTTCGGTTTAAAACAATTTTCAAAATAAGCACACCAGTGTTTATTTAATTGCCCAGTTCTCTAGTCAACCTCAGTATTAGCTAAAATGCCATTGGAGGAGCCTCTGAGATCTCAGCAAGCAAGTCTTGTCTCACAGTTCTAGGACTTGACCCATTTAAAGATGGCAGGAGAGAGGCGGTTCCAGCCAGCTGTCCTCTGATCTCTGCACATGCTCCATGGCACACATGCCCCCACACACCTTCACACTTGCAGTATTAATAAATAAAAAATTGAAGCATTACTGGGATCTCTAGGAGGAGGAGTATAGAAGAAAATTGTATTTTGGTTGACAGCTAGATACTATTTGAAAAATTTACTTCCTTCAAAACCAAAATGACTTTTACAGAGTATTTCAACAGGCAGCTTAATGGGTTTTCAGTTTCACAGAAAGTGAAAGTGTTTGTATAAATACAGCAGTAGGATAGGCCAGTGTCTCTTTGTGTTTGGTGACGCATGATTATAGAGATCAGTTTCTATAATAAAGTGCCAGACTGTGGCGAGTTTAGAGTTTACCTTACGGCGTTTGCATCTTCCTCCCAGAATTGACCTTTTTCTTTTTCCTCTGCCCCAAAGTAAAGGCCGAGCAGATAGTTTCTGTGAGCATCTGCCACGAATCTTAAGCATGTACAAAATCTTCTCAATCCCAGTGTGTAAATAGGTGGGAGGTGATCGTAGTTCCAAACTGTTAGGCTCTGGTGACTTAGCTTGGAAGACTTTGAAGCAGAATCTAAGAAAAAAGAAACTTAGTTCAGTTCTCATGTTGCTGCTGGGAATTTGCTGAGTTGCTGAGTTGCGAGTCACTCTCCAGAGTGTCTTAATCCCCTATTTCTAATGCAGTGCGAGCTGTAACAACACATCTTGCAGAAACAGTGATAAGAGAACTGCTGCACCATCCAAGGAGGAAACATATAAACAGCAAATGATTTGAAGAGAGTTATGCAAAATCTCACTTAACAGCCTGTAAAACTGCAGTTTGGGGGAGAAGATATGGAACTACTTGGTTTTCCTTTTCCTTCTAGATCCACCCGATATTCCTCAGAAACTGAATTGTGAGACACATGATTTCAAAGAGATTATATGCAGCTGGAATCCAGGAAGGCCAACAGGGCTGGTGGGCCCACGAAATACAGACTACATTTTATCCGAAAGGTAACGGTCCCCGGGAAAGAGTGCTGGTGGCAGGGACCTCGGGAGAACCCATTGAGTGACATGGGAATCTGGCACATCGTTGTCATGCAAGCGAGCGAGCGCGCTGTGTTGGGGTCATGTGACTGGAACGACTCAGCTGGCCCCTGTGTGGTTGCCATGCCGTGCCTCTTCTGTCTGAAGCCGAACAGGCGGGCCCCAGAGAGTCTAGGCGGTGACTTATGCCTGGTTATTTTCTGTCTCACACACCAGTTTCTTGAGTTTGTGATTAGTCTTAAAGTAGAAATGAACTTTTTATAAACATTAATCGAAATTTGCCCGTGTTTTTCCCTTCACCATATTTACATCTTACTATCCTGAAATTATTTTTCTTTGTGACTGACAGCATTTCGGGAAAATCCGTCGTACTTAAAAGATTCGAAACACTTACAAATGAAAGCTGTCATTTAACCTTCCAAATGCTTCCAGACCAAGAAGTCTATAACTTCACCCTGACCGGTCACAACCCACTGGGACAAGCAGAATCAGTAATGTTTATCAACGTAACTGAAAGAGGTGAGCCACTATTGCCAGCCAAGGTCTATAAATAACTACAATAAAAATAACACCTGACATGCCTTGGGACTCATGAAAGGTGACTATAGGAATTAGTGTTTATTGGTTATTTTCTTTAGAGTTTTTTCAATTTTATAATTATTTAATAATATTATCTTAAAGCATTAAAAATGAATAACTTTAAATTTGATGATTATTTTGAATTGAAATAAACATTTGAGTCATTTAGATGGAAATTATACATAGCTTTGTCAACTCATTCTTGATTTCTGAACATTTTTTTGGACATTTCTTAAGAACATTTACTTTAAAATATTTTTTTGATGCAGAAGTTATTGCAAAAATAATGAATTACAACTTTGTGAACCCTCCTGTCTTTCCCCAGAGCTGACAACAAGAACAGGAAGGTGACCGTTCTCTAGGCTGCTAACCTAGATGATTCTTTTTGCTTAGTTTTGTGTGCGTACACTAGAGAGTGTTCAGATGTGCTGAAGAACTTCCGTGAGGAGTTCCTTTGCAGTGTGTGGGCAGTGTGGATCTCAGTGTGATGGTGGTTACGGTGTCTTTACACAGATATACCCTCTCGCTCTGTCTGTCTCTCTGTCAGATTGCACCAACTGTCCATTCTTGACCCCCCGTTTTTGTCATTGTGAGTGTATTTTAAATAAAAACGCACTGTGTATAACCATTTGATGCTGGCATTTCTTAGGATAATATCCCCCAAGAGACATCCAAACTGTTTATTAGTTACAAATTTCTTCCTATATCAATGATTTTTTTTTTATTTTGGGGTACAATAATGATATGCAGCTCAGAACAGAAATAAGGTGTGTGAGGTCTTTTTGTGGTTGTTCCATCGTCAGCCCAAATGAACTACCCCCATGCCAGGCTCATCCACATCCTGAGATGTCACAGAGACTAGTAGAAGAAAGGGCTATGAACAAGTGCTTCATCGGTCTGACGAGTGGATGGTGGAGGGTCCCAGCGCCTCATTGCTACTTTTGTAGCGTTTCTCCAAATGTGTGTTTAGTTTGTATTGTTTATGTGGGTATATGCTGTATGTGCTGCTTATGTGCAGGAAATTGCAGAGGCCAGAAGAGGGAGTCAGATCCCCTGTAGCTGGAGTTATAGGTAGTTGTGAGCTTCCCAGTGGGGCAGCAGTGTGGTGCTGGGAACAGAAATCAGGACCTCCGGAAGAGTATAAAGTGCTCTTAGCCACAGAGCCATCTCTGGTCCCTGCATTTTATCTAGTATTCCATCCTGTCATTATTTCCTATTTTGTCCTAGAGTCAAAAGGCTACATTTTGTAGCTGAAGGTATTGCTTGCATTGGTCTGGCTTCGTTCTGTTGTTGTTGCTGGTGGTTTTGTTTTGGTTTGGTTTTCCGGTTTCCCCTGTGTATTTCCTTTGACCTCATAGTTCACAGCCATTGTAAGACTCCCCCCATCCTAAACCACACTGAATTCCTGTGTCAGTCAGCATCATCACCACACACATACCTCGGACAGACGCCTGTCAGTTCCTCTTGGTATTTGTCATCCTCTGTGGACACTACAAGCCTCTTAAACTTTCCTCTTCTACTGCCTAATGTTCCCAGCGCCAGATGAACAACCTTGAGCGCAGTTGGTTCTTTGAGAGCACTGGTTGCATAGCAACAGTAAAAATAAGGTCCCTGGGTCCCACACAGACTGTATTGGTTTTAGGTATTAATAGTACCTCTTTGCTGTTCTTCCCCTACCACATACACTCATCCTTTGTTTCTAGTTTGTCTGACTAGGGCCGACCTTTTCACCCTAAACATTTACAGGCATTAATCTTTATAATCCTGTTTCCAGTTGCTCCTCACGTGCCTGTTTCGTTGAAAGTGAAGGACATCAATTCAACAGTTGTTACACTTTCCTGGCATTTGCCAGGAAATTTTGCAACGATGAATCTCTTGTGTCAAGTTGAAATTTGTAAAGCTAATTCAGAACAAGAAGTGGTAAGTAAAATTCTCCTATAAACCTTTGGTAATTATGTTTAAATTTTCTTTTGGTAATTATGAATAAAATTATTCAAAGGCAACTAAGCAAACTGTATCACAGGAATTCACTAAACCAAGAAAGACTTTACATACAAATGTATGGCAACATTGTCATTTGCACTTGAAAGAATTATAAAACTGGACAGGAGAATAGAACTTCAACTTTAGCTGTTCAGAATGCTCCCAGGCTTAGTGTGTAATACCCGCGTGTGACTGGCACGCAATAAGTTTTGTGATTAAGAATTAGCTTTGACTGTATGTAGCCTTTGACTAACTGGCATGGGAGAGTAGAAGAGAACTTTAAATTATTTAGTGTATCAGTGGAAGCAAGTTTTAATTGGTAATTATATGTCAGAAGAGGACTTTTAATTCATTGCAACAATTAGATTGACTTACACTGTGCCCTTTTGTAATTTGTGGTAACTGTGAAATGAATGGTACTGTAGTTGAACATCACTTTGGAAATTCACTGTTTCTGTAAGAGCATTCAGAGTGCACAGTGTGACCTGCAGAGCCACTTCGTAACGAGCAGCTGAGAATTTAGATATTTTCCTGGCACAGTCATCCTCAAATTTGTGTAAAATTGCTTCACTTTAATGCTAGTTATTTTTATTTTTTGTCTTTTTTGCTACCTGTTCAGTGCCACACTAGAGGCCTAGGTGACATAGACACACGCATAAGCCACACCGTTTGCCTCCAGGGTGATTTTCAGTATCTGTGGAAAAAGCCTTCATCCCCAAACTCGTCTCTTATTGCCAAATTGTGTTCAAGTTAATAGTCACCAGCTATTAACTCTGATTATCACAATAATAGCTGTATAATTTAACTGACGATTATTATTTAGATTCAATAATTAAATTAAAAATGCATCCCAGTATTTTATTGGCTGCTATGTGTTAGTTAAGTCCCAAGAAATTTCTTTCTGCAAAGACTGGCTATACTTTCTGCTTGTCATTCTCTTTGTCTCTGGAGGAAGGGACACACGGCTCCTCCACTAACCTATGTCTGTGAAGCCGATTAGCGTATCCAGGTCTACGCTAGCCTCTAGGCTCACTCAGGCCTTACTCACGAGTGTCTGTTACAGAGTCACCCTGGCTGGATGCCCTACCCGCTACCCTAAGCCTCTCCAGCCTCTGAGCTTCTCCACCTTCTCTTATTCCTTATGACCCAGCCATAAACTTCTCTTGTTCCTATGCAACCCAGCTATTTTGGCACCATGCTCTCTGAGCTCCCACGTGATTTGTTCCCTCTCTCTTCCTCTCTCATCTCCCAACCCCATGACTGGTCTATTCAGTCTGGCTGTGCTCCCCTTATATCTTCAATAAAAAAACCTTCTCCTCAACCATACCTAGGAGCGGTCGGTCATGTCCTCATTTTCATTCACTATGGAACATAATTCTGTTGATGTAGTATTTTGTGAGAATTAAAACACTATGAACTCTGTTCTAACTGCAAACTGGTGTGACATTCAGTTGGTTTATATCACAAGTGTAGACTGATTTAATACCAAAAGTATAATGTATATGGACGTATTATATATCCATACACATAGCATATACAAATTAGCACCCAAATATATATACTTCTTTTCAAATAGCGGAATGCCACAATCAAAGGAACCGAGGATTCAAGTTATCTTGTGGCTGTGGACAAATTAAATCCATACACTGTGTACACATTTCGGGTTCGTTGTTCTACTGAAACCTTCTGGAAATGGAGCAAGTGGAGCAATGAGAAGAGACATTTGACTTCAGAAGCCAGTAAGTTACGTGATGGTGCGGCTAATCACTAACAGGGAGCAGGGAGGATACAAGATAGAGAGACACCCGGCAACAGTCACATGACCGTGAGGATACTTTCATCCCATTCTCTGAGTCCTTGTGTTCTGTAGAAGCTGAGAGCTTAGCTTCATCTAGTGCTTCTCTGCTGCTTCGCTTTAGAAACGGAAGCCACAATTTATGGATAATTCTAGATACCCTAGAATGAAGTCCAACTTTTAGTTTTAGTCGCTGATACTGTCCACTGCCTTGCAGTCTGTGTCTTCAAATTCTAATGGGAAAATCTCTTTCCTAGCTCCTTTAAGGGGACCAGATACTTGGAGAGAGTGGAGCTCCGATGGAAAAAACTTAATCATTTATTGGAAGGTAAATATTTATGGTTTCCTTGGATGCTTAATTTTTTTTATTTAAATGCTTAATGTACAAATGGTAACTTGGTTTTTGTGGATACTTTCAATTGTACTTGCTTACTTAGTATTCAGCTGTACTGGTAAATGGTTCATGAAATACAAAGTCACTGAAATCTACATATGCAAGGAGCCCAGGCTTCCCAGACTGGTTAAGTTTGCCATCTTCTAAGCCCGTGTTTCCCATCCTCCTGATTGCCCAGACGCTGAGAGGGGCTCTTGCCTCAGTCTCAAGTCCATAGTTGTGAGACCCATAATAATACCACACGTGTGGAGAGCTCATAGGAAAACTTGTGGGGTTCTTTCTTCTACTGTGTGGGTCCTAGGGATTAAGCTTAGATCTTCAGGCTGGGTGGCAGTCACCCTTAGCTGCTAAGCCGTCTTGCCAGTCTTTCCTTCAATTTTTGTATTTTTTTCTAGTGATTTTGTAGCGGTCATGTAGTATATAAAAGGAGGAAAGAATGCATGTGCTAGAACACCGTGCCAGACTGCTGTGTTTCTTCTTGTGGCTCAGTCCTTTGGGCCATGTCTTACATTTTTGCTTCTGGAAATTATAAAAATCGAACAGTTTTATATTAATGTTTACATTTCTGTGGATTTTCAGTGTGTAACAAGTGTGGGTCTTTTTTAACCTTTTCATGCCTTAAAAAAAATGGTCTCAGTGGATTTTAAAATTTGAGTTTCGCACTCCTGATAGCTGCATAGTCTATTTTCACTTTTTATTGGGAACTTAGCCCACTTTAGGCCTGATGACCTTGCCCAAGCCTTGTACCCTTTTGCAAGTTCTAATGAGAGAATCTGTTCTTCTGTTTGCCGCAGCCTTTGCCCATTAGTGAAGCTAATGGAAAGATACTTTCCTATAATGTATCATGCTCATCCAATGAGGAGACCCAGTCCCTTTCTGAGATCCTCGATCCTCAACACAGAGCAGAGATGCAGCTGGATAAAAATGACTACATCATCAGTGTGGTGGCAAAGAATTCTGCTGGCTCATCACCACCTTCTAAAATAGCCAGTATGGAAATCCCAAACGGTGAGTGCTCGGGAGAATTTACAGGAGCAGATGGAAGTAGAAACCGTCAGTGTAGCCAGCTTTCCTCACAAGCCTGCTCCGCCCATGCAGTTTGCATATGTGTGCCCTTAGAGGACCAAGTACAGGAATGTCTGCATTGAGGGATGCTGTCAGTAGTATTTTTTGTCTGTTTTGAGACAAGATTTTGCTATGTGGTTCAGGCTAGCCTCGAACACACTAGATAGCCAGGGCAGACTTGAACAGCCTCAGCCTCCTGGGTAACTTTAGTATTGACTGGAAGCCCATAAACGTGTGAAAGATAATAATTACTGTATCTAGTTAGTTTGTCATAGAGTATGAAAAGTTCTGATGGTGGATAGCAATCTTGGGAAGAAATACTTTAAACTGTTTGGTCAAAGACCTTTTAAAAAGTATCTTTCCAAGACTAAGGGTTTCTGCTGTCCGTCTGTTTTTGCAGGCCATTGTGCAGAAAAAGACACTTGTTTTAATTGGCAGCCTTGTGGTCATTGATAATTATTTCCCCTTGAGTGTGTTTTTTGTTGTCATTACTTATGATTTTCTGTATAGGTGAGGTCTTGTATAGTCTAGGCTGGCCTGGAACTTGCTATGTAGCAAAAGATGACCTTGAACTCCTGATTGTCCAGCCTCCAAACCCAACATAGAAATTCTCCGTATTGATAAGAAAGCTTCTAGGCTAAATTTGATTATTAATAAGGGTTTTGAAAACCAAAGATTTACATGGTGTGATTTTAAAATCTCAGTGTTTGCCTCTAAATTGCCACAGATTGCCAGTGGCTCGCCACAATCCCTCTCGGTTTTCACAAAGCTCGAACTTGCTATTTCCACACATCATACATAGCTTACTTGGACCATCTTTATCCTCTGGTGTCCTTCACTAATTCCCCACTCCCACCCCTGCTAGCCTTTCCTCTTCCCTCAAAGCTAGACAGCTTTCTGAGTCATGAGTTTTAAATGGCCACTTCCACCTCTTCTTCCAGTTACTTCCTGAGCTCCTTTGCTGACCTTCCCCAGTATGGGAACAACTTTTTATGAGCCCACTCATAACAGAAAGAAAAACAGTCTGGTTGGGTTCCCCTGAGTGTCTCTTCAGCGCTTGCTTGTGGTGGTTTCTTGGCACTGGCCTGGTTCATTGGTTTGTCCTAGGTAATGATCACAGAGAATTATGGAGTAGGAATGTATAGCAGGGTCATTTCAAAGACTTGTCCACACCCAGGTCATAGCACAGCCCTAAACCTAGGCAGTGGAGGGCATGGCAGATGGCATGGCATGTTTAGGGGCAGGAGTCAGAGCAAGGTGTCCAGTGAGCCCTCATTTGGCACTAGGCATTTTAAAGATGGCAGTTGTTTCTCTTTAATTACTGTGTTGTCTCTAACTGGAGCATTCTGACCCTACCTATTCTGTGTGTCCTTGAGAAGGTGGTTTCAGCTCTAACTGTGGTCAGGGCTCGCACACTGACATCTGGCAGCCTGCAGTTCTCACTCCCAGAGGCAGAGGCTACACAACCTCAGCTCCCATTTGCACCGTGGCATTGTAGGCACATTGAGCAAGAAAGCTATCTGACATCCAGACCCTCTGTATTCTAAACCAGGCGCTCCTCTTGTGCTCAGGAGTAGCTGCTTTATGAGAGTCCTTCCTATATATGGGATTGTTTGCTTGTTTGTTTTAACCAAACCCTTACATATAAATGAGTTGGAGAGGCCATTCTATTTTTGTGTCCCTATGAGAACCCCTCCCCTTTCTTGGCCATAACTGTGCTGCCCTCTACTCTGGTCCCTCAAACCTCACCTCCCTTCTCACTTATCCCTTAGGCCCAGGTCTAGCAGAAAGTAAAGTAATCTCCCACAGCCACAGAGCCTACGCTTGCTCCCCAGTGTGCACACACACACATATACACATACCCCAGCATCTCATGGTCTCTGGGAATGCCTCTGCCCACACTAGATATCCCTCCTCAAACTCAGCTGCTTCAGCCATTCTCCACCCTCTGCGCCGCCCCTAGATGGTTCCCTCAGCCCCACGTTTGGGTTGGGATGCCTGAGTCCTGGAAAGCAGATGGTCTGCTCTTCATTTCTGGGTGCTCTGTTTGCCTACTCTGTGCGGCTCCTTTTCCCAAAGAGCTGTGCTCACTGTGGGCGGTGAGAGCAAGAGTTAATTGTCCCCCTGGCCCTTGCCCAGCCTCCTGCCTTCTTCTCTCATCCCACATGGTCAGGCTGTGGTCCTCCTCCCGGTGCCAGTCTAACCGCCAGTATGTGTCTACCTGATTCTAGAAGCTTTTCTGTTCTCTCCTCAACGTCTGTGTCATTCATTTTCCGGATAGAGGTAAATGCTGTAGTTATCCCAATAAGGTTACTACTACAACACTTCTTTGCTAAATATTGATATCTAAATGGTAGTCCAACTACTATTTTAGAATTGTCTGCAGTGAAATAATTTTTATAACTACTGTCCATTTTCTTAAGCCTTCCTTTTGGTATTTCTCTGACTGCCAGTAAAATGTCTTTCTTACCTTGTTGAAGATGACATCGTAGTAGAACAAGCCGTTGGAATGGGAAAGAGGATCTTCCTCACCTGGCATCCTGACCCCAACATGACCTGTGACTACGTCATTAAATGGTGCAACTCATCTCGTTCTGAGCCCTGCCTCATGGACTGGATAAAGGTTCCTTCAAACAGCACCGAGACTGTAATAGAATCTGGTAAGAAGAATTCATGGCTCTCCCAGGCTTTCGGGGGGAGGGGAGGTTGAAAAACCACACAGATGTGACTGGATACTGTTGGCAGGCATGACCTAATTTATCTTAATTCGGTGTGGCTTGTGGCCTGTCTCTGGAAAAGACTAACCCTTGGAGGTAGGTTTTCCTTGTCCAGGGATTTACTCAGAGAGGTCATCAAAGAGCAGCATATATCTGCATTTGGTTAATGGCATTTGTTTTTTGAGGTAGGGCCTCAAATTTGGAGATTCACCTACTGCCGAAATTTAAAGTGTGCTCCACCACACCCGGCTCCGAAAGTGCTCTTGATAGCATTGCTTGTAATCTGAAGATTATAGCTAAATAGCCGATAAGGGAATAAATTACAGTGTGTTGATGAAATAGAGTTTAGTAGGAATAACAGTCCAGATATGAAGCGCCACAAGAAAGCACTACTGAAGAAAGGGGACGGCATAGTCAGGGCCCTTTTGCCTTATGTTGTCCAGGATCCGGGTCACCGAGGCCTCGCTGCCACAATCAACCCTTCCCTAATATGATAGGTACAGCCTGAGAAGTGTGGCACCCACGGAGGCTTGGACCCCACAGGCTAACCCCGCTTCTCCTTTGGAAGCAGAGGCCTCCCTCCTGCGGTGCTGCCCTGCCTTCTGCTGAACCAGTGTGTGCCTACTCCTGTGGGATTCTCCTGGGCCAGTATTGGGTCTGTAGGTCCTGATCTTTCTGGAGACATCAAGAAAGACATCCTGGTCCTTCCTCATGAGTTAGGGAAGCAAGCCGGAGAGTGAGGGGCCCCCAGTTGCTCCTCTCCCTAAGACAGGTTCTTCTTGCTTACTGTTTGGAAACTCTGTCAAAGGGTGAGGATTCCCTCATTGATTCAGCACATGTAAGTTCAGATAGTTTCCCTTCTGCCTGGGTTCGTCTGCAGTTGACTGAAGTCATGGTTGTCTTTCGAGCTACTTCCTTTCTCCTCTGGCCGCCCTCTGTTCTTCCGTTCTTCCATCCTCCTCGTCCCTGCGCCTACTCCCGATTCCTCTCATGTGGGGCCGACTTGACTGAGCCTCACCCTGAGCCTCTGCTCTCTCCTCTCCCTCCTAGGATTTCAGAATAAGTGGGGTGCCCTGGGCTGGGGCACCATGGGCGGTGTTTCTGGGAGAGCAAGGTGTGGTTGAGGTCCCTCGGGATGGGGAGAAGCCACTGTAGTAACTGGTGCTGTGTGGGATCAGGGTCTCTGCAGTGGCCGAGGAGACAAAGGCACAGAGTACTCGGACAAGTGCTCTGGGCCACAGTTACAGTGCAGTGGTGCCTGAATTCAAATGCAGAACTACTCAAAGCTTCAAAAGGCTGGGGCTCTCGACTTTTCTTCCCTCCTGAGCTTCTGGCCTCAGCCCTTCCCTGGTTCTTCTCTTAATGCAGCTTCCTGTCCTTCAGCTCTCTACTCTCTCTCATGGTATCTGTGCCACCCACCAGTCCCTTTTAAGTGACATACTCTATTCAATAATCGATAGTATGTAAAACAAGGCATGGGTTTACAGGCAGTGTAAAATCAGAGCCTGAAGTATACCTTTCCTGCAATGGAATGCACTTGGCAGAGTTGAACTTTCCATCAGTATTTGCTTAGTACTTGAAAGCACAGAGCAAACACTTGAGAAAAAATCATGGTAGGAGAAAAGTTAAAAAGAGACGAAAGCCACAGTTTTCCTTTAGAGCATGTCATTTTGAGGTTGACCGTCTCGCTGTCACCTGTGGAGTTCAGGTGTTCTTTGGGCACGAGGATGAAGGAGCCATTGTATTAGCCACACTGGAATGGCTGGTCCACACAGGAGCTGCTGCCCCTGCACTGTTAGAACGTTATTAAAGCATTATCCTCTTCGGAGATGAGCCGCTTCATGGTTTCTCACCATCCTCTTCAAAGCTCGCTTCGAGGGCTTGTTCTGATCTTCGTGGGCTTGATTGGTGTTTCACTTAAGATCACATACATCTCCCATGAGAGTCGTGGTTGCGCTTGCCCATGTCTCTTCCCCACGCTTGCCAGCTTCTCCATGCTGGTCATGTGGTTCTGTGCATTTCTGCGTTTCTCACGTCTCGCATGCTCTTTTGAGTTGTGTAACTGATGAGACATTAAAAGGTGCTTCATGGGTTGAAGAAAGAGACTCAGCTAGAAGAGGTGGGGTGGGGTGCACACAAGGGAAGGTGGGACCAGAGACCCAGGTGTAAGTATGGACGTGTGAAGATGCCTTGATGACTTACTTTGTGTGTTAACCTAAAAACTTAATTTAAAAAAAAAGATACTTCCTTGCAAGTCTTGCTCAGTGAGTGTTAGGAAGAGAAACAAACTCCCAGGTCCTGTCTGGTTCCTTTGTCCCTGAGGCTCTGAGCTGGAGTGGAGTTTTTAGCCTCTGGGACTAGGGGAGAGATGTCATTTCTTGCACAGAGGAAAGCAAAAGCATTTGTTAGCACACTGTGACCACGAAGTCGCATAGTGAACTGACTGGGTGGCTTCTGGAGGCAAGAACAAGATGTCAACCTCAGTCATATTTTTTTTTCTATTCCAAGAAATGTCACCCCATGATCTCAAAGATTTTCATTACTATAGAAGCGAAAGTGTTCAAGTTTTGCTTAATACTCCTACATGTTTGCCAGTTTTATTTAAAAAGTACCAATGTGTTTTCATAATAAATCTGCTTGCAGTTAGATTTGGAAATTTTAACATGTTGTAAATTTTAATGCTTCTAGAATAAATATTCTTGCTTACCTACATATACTTACGAATGTTCACTGATTTTGTTCATCCTACAGATCAATTTCAGCCAGGAGTGAGATATAATTTTTACCTCTATGGATGCACTCATCAGGGATATCAATTGTTACGTTCTATAATTGGATACATAGAAGAACTAGGTAAGTTAAAGCAATGAGTTATTTTTTTAAAAGTTTGGATAACATGAGAAATTATGATTAGGCAAATAGCAAGAGTTAGTCTCCAAAATATATAGATTTAGTTGTTTAGATCAAGGAAGATAAAATAATGTCTATCACAAATTTAAATTTTTTAATCACTTTTCTCCACCTCCTTGCTTACCTCACAGTTTCAGTATTGGCATTGAGAAAGTTAAATCATGGCTGTCAAAAATACTTGCTTTGTGTCTATAGACGCTTAAACTTGGAAATGTATCCAGGACTAAGTAAAGACAGGGCTATGCATGAAGTTCGTTCGAGTGATCACTTAAAGCTGTGGTACAGGTTGTCCCTGGATGTGTGTCAGGCTATGATTCCTTCCTGAGCTCCGCTGGTCATCAGTGTGGAAGTGTTGCTCACTGCCTGCAGAGTTCACGACAGAGTAGAGAATACAGTTCAGTGCCAAGGTTAGGCGTCTCTGAAGTCAGCCACCTCAAAAGCTGCTGGTGCCCCACCCTTCAGCAAGTGGTTTCTTGTTTTGACAGCTCCAATTGTGGCCCCGAATTTTACTGTGGAAGATACATCTGCAGATTCGATCTTAGTGAAGTGGGAAGACATCCCTGTGGAAGAGCTCCGTGGCTTTCTGAGAGGGTATTTATTTTACTTTCAGAAAGGAGAGCGAGATACACCTAAGACCAGGAGTTTTGAGACGGGTGAGTTAATGCGGCGTTGGTTACGGTGCTGAAATACACAAAGAGAGAAAAGGCTGGTGCATAGCTAAATAACCGTGCCCAAGGCTGTCTGGAAAGGGGTACAGTAAACAGCACGTAGATTCTTCAAAAGTCAAAATCGCTTACTGTGAATCCTTTCCCTGTAAGTTCCACAGACCGGTGTTCACTTATTGCTAGTGTGGCATGTTCCATGCCATAGCATATTATTCATATTTTAAAATGTGGTTTTGTGTTTAATAGCAAAAGAGTCAGAAAAAAAACCCCACGAAAGAAAGGGTTCTGAGCTCCAATTATAATCAGGAATCAAATTGGTGCAGCCAGCCTCACTGTCAGACAGTAGCAAGGGAGGATGAAGGTTCTCTAGGCTTGCAAGGCTGCGAGTGTTTCCTTCCTCTGTACTGCCTTTCTTGGAATCTGCTAGAAGGAAGAATGCCTCACTGACTGGAAGAGAAGTGAGGAACACCCAGAAAGGAGCTGGAGAGTGGGGTAGGGTCAGTAGAGAGGGCAGCGCGGGCCACAGGGGCTAGAGTAGCAGGCCCCCGTCGGGAGGAAGCAGGAGCGTGTGGGGCTGAGGGTTGGTTACTTCTGTACATGGAAAGTGTATGGAGCATTCGCTAAAGCGTATGAGAAGAACTGAGAAATTAGTACATAGAAATTTTAAGACAATTAAACAAAAGAGGGGCAGAAAGCAATTACAGTAAGAAAAGCAAAATGCAGATATACCAAGTAGCTTTTTTTTTAAATCAATAACCAATCTTTCTGTGATTGTAGCAATGTGAGCATTGAATTCCCTCACCCAGTGAGGTGATGCTTCTCTGTGAATGTGGTGGAGAGGGGCTAGGATAGTTAGTCTAAAGGAGCTAATCCTCCATCCTTTCTGAACAAACATAGGCCAAGAGCTGGCCACCTAAGCTTGCCTTGTGAAGTTCAGGTAAACTCTTATAGAAAGGCTCCCTGATTTTAGTGGCTGTGAAGGCGAGGGGCCAGAAGGACCCGGTTCGTTTCGTCAGTCACTCTATTTGTTACTGCTTGGCTGTTTCAGCTCTCGTCTTGCATTATTTTGGTCACGACTTTCATGAACGAAACAGTTAACCAATCTTCACCCTTCCCTGTGAAGTGACCCCAAAGCATCCTCATAGCGTCTTATTGTTGAGAATTCCCACCACGTGCGTCCTTTCCTAAGGACTGAGGTCATGTCTACTGCCCTTCACCTTTGACCTGTCCAGTCTCTGCCACTGCTTCTTAAGGGCCTGTGTTGAGTGCCTTTGAGTTTCAGGGCTTTCCCTTAGTCACACACTGGGAAGTGACTTTCATGGATTGCCCGCCCTATGCCAGGCATTGTTCTAAAGAGGACGCCTGGAAACTTGGCCGGTCGGTGGGAGCCAAGCCATGCTGTTCCCTTGCAGAGCCAGAGAAGCCTGAGTTTAGAAGAGTTTAGATGGTGTGTCTGGCAGGAATAGAACTGAAGGTGACCCCAGATCCTTGTCTGGGTGTGGCCAGAAGTCAGACTTGTTTTCCAAAGGGTGCCTGGTTGCATGTCCGAGTGTTTAAAGTAACCTTAGAATGAGTGAGACTATTCTTTACGTTAGGTCATTCTGACATCAAGCTGAAGAATATCACTGACATATCCCAGAAGACGTTAAGGATTGCCGATCTTCAGGGGAAAACCAGTTACCACCTGGTCCTGCGAGCCTACACGCATGGCGGCCTGGGTCCAGAGAAAAGCATGTTTGTGGTGACCAAAGAAAACTGTGAGTTCAACACTGCTCTAGAAACGCCTTCCTCACTGAAGTGATTCAGTCTCTAGCATTTGGGGGCTGCCCAGGCATCTTTGTTCCAAGCCCTAAGGCAGTGGTTCTCAGCCTTCCTGGTACCATGACCCTTTAAAACAGTTCTTCGTGCTGTGGTGACCCCCCAACCATAAAATTATTTTCATTGCTACTTCATAACTATAACTTTACTACTGTTGTGAATCATAATGTAAATATGTTTTGGAGATTGAACTTTGCCAGAAGGGTCACGACCCTCAGGTTGAGAACCACTGCTCTAAGGCTTCATATTTTTATGTCAGAATGAGGAGAGTATTGAAAGTCAAAAGAGGAATTTTTGTTTTGTTTTCTTGTCAGTTCTTTTAAACTATTTCCCAATGAGTATATCAGAAATTAACTAATCTAGAGAAGCACCCAAAATCTAGAATTCCAAATGCATAGTGGATTTTTTTCCTAAATTCGGTTTAAATATTTTTCCCAAGTAGTTTGATTTTAATATGTCTAGGGAAGTGTGTAAGGAACATTCTTTAAAGGTTAGTAAAACACCACACTTGTAAGTCTGAGATGGCAGGTGACGAATAGCCCTTGCTGTCCTTCAGAATGACAGAACTTCTGGTTCAACTTGAGTCTTCCCCTCGGCCAGGATGGAGTTCACGTCCAGGTCTGAAGTACAGCGCCGTGAGGCTGTGGCGCACTAAAGCGGTGTTTCGGTGGGAGGTGGTTTTGCCCCCTTGAAGACACTTCGGCAATGCCTGGTGATATTTTTGACGGTGACTGGAGTGCTGCTGGCATCTCCTGGGTAGAGACCAGGATGTGGCTAAACCTCCCGCCGCAGCCAGGACAGCCCTTCCCACCCTCCTCACACCAGAAACATCTGGCCTTGTGTCGCCAATGACAGGGTTGAGCAATTCTGCTGTTTTTCAGTGTCCCCGGATCAGTTAGATTTTTTTTTCTCTGTCTTCAAATAATACATTTAAGTGTGTCCTAATTTAAGTTTATTCTGAGCCCAGTACTTCCAGAGGTGATTTTCAATATTTATAACTGCTTCCTTCCAGCTGTGGGATTAATTATCGCCATCCTCATCCCAGTGGCCGTGGCTGTCATTGTTGGCGTGGTGACAAGCATCCTTTGCTACCGGAAGCGAGAATGGTAATGGAACGTCTGTATTCACCCATTTGTGTGTTTGCCAGCTTCATTATTCAGTCGTGTTGTGCAAATTGGTCAAATATGCTCTTTTTAGTCAGAACGCCAACTTCAATATCAAGTAAGAATATAACATTTGATTGAAAATATTTAAGAGCTCATAGAGTAAAAGGATTCATTCCCCCGCCTCCACACTTCCTTTACTAATAATTTGTAGTAATGGCAGATTTGCTTTAAAGATACTTTCACGCAGAAATTGACAGTGACTATCTGCAGGATTCGATGGACCCTAATGATTAAGATGGCACAGGTCCTGAAGGCCCGTTAGAATTGGTTCTTTTGTTCCCTTATGTATCATGTAGGAATGCCCCTTCCATGAGAAAGTAATTATGGTCGTGAGGAAAGCCAGCCTGGGCTTCAGAGTTTCACAGTGCAGTGAGAGAAGGGCCAGGCAAGCATGGGTGGCTGTAAACTCGTGCTTTTCAGAGTGTGATGGGCACCCACGGAGACAGGGACAGGGAGCCGGCTAAGGAAGAGGCCAGCAGGGAAGCTTCTTGTGAAGAGCCCTGAAGAGTAACAAGAGGTGAAAGAATGTTTTAGAGAGAGTGATTTCCGTGAGGCTCTGAAACTGGGGCCTCTAGATAATTGGGTGACACGCGAGACAGGTGCAGGGTGAGGCTGAAATGGACAGGGTCTCAGAAGGAGGCAGCACGCACTGGGTTGGCTGCTGGGAGCCGTCCTCACTGTGTCCGAGCAGAGGCTGTCGCCAGCACAGAAAGGGCTTCCCTGGCTTTAGAATGCCATTGTTTATGACGGAGGGCACGTGTCCTGACTGTCCTGGCTTCCAAATGGAAACAGCAATACTTGCAAATAGAATAACTATTTTGGCAACTAATTCCAACTTTACAGCAAAATTTCAGTTAAAAATAAATAAATAAAAGGCACCTGAAAGCTGGAAAATTGGACTGGTGTCTGCGTAGCCATGGTCTTCAGGAATTCCAAACGGAGTTCTTTGTAGTTCTGAGTGTAAAAATAAAGGAGGTCGAGCAAACCTCGTTTTTTCTGATGTTGAATTTTTATCTGAGGTTTGTAGCTTTTTTATTTTTCTTTAGCTCAGCAGGCAGTGTTCCTGTCTCTCATGCCCGTCACCTTTAATACTTTCTGTTATCTTTTTAATCTGGTATAAGTGACTCATGGCTGTAATCCTAGGGCTAGGGGTGCTAAGGCCTGGGGAGTACCACAAATTCAAGGCCAGTCTGGGCTCCCTGAGGCTCTACCTCTAAAAACAAGCAAGCAAATGAATAAAAACAAAAACAAAAAAATGAAAATAGAATGAATGCTTTAAGAATGCAAGCGCTCACTGTGCTTCCCCACCCTAGCTGAGCTCTCCCCTGCCAGTCCAGGCCCTGTGCTGGGCAGAGGCCTGCTGAGCAGACAGGTCCCTTGAGTCACCGGCCCTGCTTCATCCAGTTTGCAGTGAAAACATAGCAGTATTTCACGTGAGACACGATCGCCACCATCGCTGTAAATTATTTACTTTTACTTCCTTGACCCAATAAGGTCTTGTAGCTTGAGCGTAGACTGGCTGTCCACAGCGTGCACACTGGAGCCCTGTGTCAGATCGCTAGTGAATGGCCCATGGTAGAGCCTCCATCTGTGTCTCAGGTGCTCTTTGGCGTGATCACAAAAAAAAAAAAAAAAAGTTCCAGCCAAACCAAATGACTTCTTTATTCTGTTACACGGTCACCGCGTGATAGTTACTAAACCTGATTCGTTCTTTATTTGAAGGATTAAGGAGACGTTCTACCCTGATATTCCCAACCCAGAGAACTGTAAAGCGTTACAGTTTCAGAAGAGCCTCTGCGAGGTAACCCTTCGTTCCGTGTGTTTGCGTTTGGGGACCCGAGGGCTCCTTCTTTCTGTCTTTTGTGAGAAGCTTGTGATGTCAGCCCGAGAAAGAAGTAGGAGGAAGGTAGCATGTTTTAGCATCTGTTGAATGTCCAGAATTTGTCATCTTCAGTGTTTACAGCACGCTATTTTTTTTTTATAACCACTATGAATAGTAAGGAAAATATTGACATGGAGGGGAAAAAAGAAGTAGCTTTGCTCTGGATGTGAACTCCAGAGCTGCTGAGGCCAGTGTTCATAAACAGATGTGAAGGGGGAAAAAATAAGTAAAATACAAGTCTTTCTGTCAGAGGAGCCCCACTGAAGTATGCAGCATTGTCTTAACCAGTGTTCCGAATTTATTTCCAGGGAAGCAATGCTCTCAAAACATTGGAAATGAATCCCTGTACTCCAAATAATGTTGAAGTTCTGGAATCGCGATCAATAGTTCCTAAAATAGAAGATACAGAAATAATTTCCCCCGTGGCTGAGCATCCTGCAGAGAGCTCTGAGGCGGACCCCGAGAACCACGTGGTTGTGTCCTACTGCCCACCCATCATTGAGGAGGAAATAGGGAACCCCACAGCAGACGAAGTGGGAGGGACTTCCCAGGTCGTGTACATTGATGTTCAGTCCATGTACCAGCCTCAAGCCAAGCCAGAGGAAGAGCAGGACGGTGACCCCGCAGTGGCGGCCGGCTATAAGCCGCAGATGCGCCTCCCCATTAATTCTGCTGTGGAGGACACAGCAGCGGAAGACGAAGCCGATAAGGCTGCGGGCTACAGACCTCAGGCCAATGTGAATACTTGGAATTTGGTCTCTCCGGATTCTCCAAGGTCCACAGACAGCAACAGTGAAATTGTCTCTTTTGGAAGTCCATGCTCCATCAATTCCAGGCAATTTTTGATTCCTCCTAAAGATGATGACTCTCCTAAATCTAACGGAGGAGGGTGGTCCTTCACAAACTTTTTCCAGAACAAACCAAATGACTAACCTGGCACCCTTTGCCGGTGCAGTCTGCCATCTCAACGTCCCGGCAGTAGCTGGGGCATTCCTGGAGGGACTGAGCGAAAGTGGAGAGCCAGAGACCTTCCCTCCGGGCAAGTGACCCTAGAAGTGTTAACGTGCTTTTAATGTACCCTAAAAGCCCAAGTCCAGTGACTCGGAAACCTCAGACACAGAAACTCAAGATTTGAAGCTGTTTTTGATTGAGCCAAAGAATCCTCCAGGAGGATTTCACGACTAACTCTGCCTAGTTCGTATATGCAAAACAAATCTCAACAACTGTCTGTTGTTACTGGTTTTCTCGTCTTTGTATGTTATGGAATTCCAAGTGGATTTACAGGCCAGGAAGAAAAATGTCCAAGTCAAAATAACGCTACTGCGCCTGACATTTACTGCAGTCTAGAGGAAAACCAAGCACAGATTTTAAAACTTTTATGATGTCTTCTGTCCTCAGCATTTACAAAAGCGAGTCTAGTTTTTAATGTAACAGCCACTATCTGGTGTTCTGTTTGGTAGAGTGTGCTGATGTCCGTGCCTATCTGGTATTCCAGTTGACGGAGCGTGCCGATTTCTCTGCCTACTGTATAACGGTTACCAAACAGTTGTCTCAGGGGTACAAACTTGGAAAAGCAAGTGTGACACTGACCAGCCTGAATCAGAATCACACTGTCCTGCTTTAGCGGGGTGTGAAAACCTTTTTCCTGTCTCGTAGCTGGCACGCTAGCTTCCGTTGGGCGGCCCGTTGTCCTCATGTTGGAAATTTCTAGAACTGACTCCAAATTTTCTCTGCATTTTTGTTTTGTGTTACGGTGTCTGCTTTGTAAGAACAAAGTCAACATTATTCATGAGTATATAGTTGTGATGAGTTCCTATGTAAGATGACTACTAAGAACTACTAGATACTGGTGCGTGCTGACTCCCAGCTCTGATAAGGCCCTGTTCCCCTGAGAAGGTTTGCCATCCACCTGACCAGTAGCGATTGATGATCTTTGGAGTCTCAGCCCCAGCCCCTCCTCCCTCAGGCAATTAGACTCTCAGACCCAATCTTCAAATTCATAAGCTTAAACCTAAAGGGAGATCATTTCTCCCCAGAGCAGCTGGTAAATGGTGACTTTAATAGAAGTTGTAACGCTTACGGAATTGGTGGGTAGTGGCCTGTGGTTCCTCTCTGAGCCATGAAGAGCTGGGTCCGAGCACGGCACCCTCCATCTATCCTGGTTTCTCATCAACAATGTGTAAGTGAGTGAGGGTCTCAGAAAGGCAGAGTAAAAACCTAAATGCATGTAGTGTGTTTGTATTTGCTCTGCCCTTTATTGTCAAAGTGTGTAAGTATGTGAGTTTGAAACACCCGAGTAGACCTTTGTTTTGTGTCATCTGAAGTTCCCCAAACTGTGCAGAGAGTGAATTGGTTTTTTAGTTCCTATTTAATCTCTTTTTACTTTTACTTCTTCCTTCCTTTCTTCCTTCCTTCCTTTCTTTTTTGAGACAGGGTCTCATTATGTAGCTCCAGCTGTCCAAGAACTCACTCTGTATACCAGGCTGGCCCCAAACTCACAGAGATCCACCTGCCTCTGCTTCCTGAGTGCCAGGATTAAAGGCATGCGCCACTATGCCTGGTCTCCTATTTTCTCTTTTAAAAAGTCATGTGGGAAAAAATTGCAGGATGACAAGGGAGAAAGTCTAATAATCAGTGCATGATCCTGTTTTTAATCCCAGGATGCAGCTACATTTTGGAGCTTCATGACATGATGGATTGTGGGGTGAAACCAATTAGTTATGCATTTATATAATAAATAAAATGTAGATAATAACTCTTAGAAATTTTCAGTAATGAAAAATATTCCAAACTAGAGTCATCTCCAAACAGTTTAATTTGTTCCTTGTGCCTTCCCTCTCTGGGTCCTTTCTTGACCTCCACCCAGCCACTCTGAGCCCTGGCTGCCTTCTCCCCTGCCACATCTCGTAATGCTCTGCTCTGCTCGCCTCCAGCCTATGCCTCATTCCCCATGGAAGCTTATCAGTTTTATCTTCCATCTAATAGGGATGAGTGTCAGGGGAGGTAGTAGCTCATCCTTCTGAACTACATTAACCCGAGAACACAAGGAACGGTCAGAGAAAATGGACTTATCCTATCATCAAAACAGGCCCCTTTCACGTGGCTGTCTAGAGTGAGGGACGTTTAGAACATTTAGAACGCTGCTCATCCTCCCCGGCCTCCGAATTCCAGTCTCCAGGACCACTGGGCCGCTGAGAAGCGGGGTATCCGCGGATCATTTTAGGAAAACGTGGCTTGGGACTGAGGCTGAGGCAGATGTCCTTGTCTTTTCCCATTGAATTGAAGACAGCCACATCCCCGGGCAGTGTTGTTATCTCTGTGGTTCCTGCTGAGTTGTACACTGAGAAGAAGCCTGGCAGGGAGAGGGTGGGGCAGAAAGGGACAGGCAGGACATGCTGTCACCCTTCTGTAAGCCTGTCTCACTCCGATTCCCTTGTGAGCAATGGAGATGGGGTGGGGGAAGTAATCATAATACTTGGGAGTGGTCATTTTCAATCTTTAATTTAAAGATTATCTTAAATACTTAACTAGGCTTTTGGCGTGAGAGCTGTGAGCTGTGTGCTACGTTAATTACCACGTCTGTACCTTCCGAATTCTCCCCGTTGAACTGGCAGTGTCCTGGATTTGAGATGGTTGTACTGCGTATCTAGAAAGTTGAGTGTGTCCCTATGCTGTGTGATAGAGGTGCTTTTGTTCCTGCTGCTGGCAACAGAAGCAGCCATTCATTGGGAAGCTCGAGGGAGGAAGTGTCGGGCTCGTTTTCCATATTAGCATTGCTCTCGTGGTTCATGGAACTTGAAGGCTTGCATTCAGAACGCCAAGTACTGTCGTACTCAGAAATGGTAGAGAGTCACATTCTCAGACCTTGCAAGCTGAAGGTCTTGTTAGAAATTTCCCCTGCCCCAGTAATTTATCAAATATCACAGTCCTTTTCTGTGTTAATTAAATGAATATAATTTAGTGAAAGACTAGAGAATTTCTCCTCTCAATGGGAATTCGAAATCAATGTTGTGGTATTTTTCAATTATAAAGTACCCCTTAATATGTCAAAATGCAGAAAGTATTATCTCCAAGTTTCTTACTGCTTAGGCATTTAATCTGGTGAAACTTCTTTGTTTGCACTAAGGTAACTTTTGCTGTTTCCTGTTTCAAACTGTGTTCGAATTAGCGAAATGCTTTCTCAAAGGATTTTGGAAGTGTGATCCTTGGCTTCCCAAGTGAAGCATGGGGAAAGGGTCATTAGCTGCTAATGCCAGGCACACAGTGACAACCCAGTGGCTGTGTGCATGGAGTCCCTTCCGAGTGTTACAAACTCAGCAGAACTGTCTGGAAGGATGCTAAAGATTAAGATGTAGCTCACATATATCTGAGAGCTTTGAGTATACAGTCGAAGCGGCCCCACAGTTGGAGGAAAAGCAGAAGACTCACCAGGCATTTCATTAGACACTGTCAGCATACTTGGAGCCGTGTGGACTGTGCTTTTATCCAGCGAGTTTTCCATCTGGAGACGTGTTTGTACCAACCTAGCATCTGTTTCGGCGAGCCATGTGTGTGAGCTTAATTGATTAACAGAAGAACTGTTCTCTTTGTAAGTTATCTCCAGACATTTCCTTTGAACTGATATTTTCTGCTGAGACAGCTTCATGCTGCCATACCTGTCTCCCTCTTGTATCCAAACCCAAAAATCTTTACAGAATGCCAGGGGTGGGGGAGAAGTGTGGCCAAACTTACAGGACACTGATCTTTTGGATATAACCCTAGAATTGCTTCAAATTCATTTAGCCTGAATCATGATTCTGCCTCAGTGCTATTTATACTGCTAAAGCCTCTCAGTTAAACTAGAGCCACTGCGTTTTTTTTTTTTTACTCCTTTTCAGTTGCTGCTTTTATCTTGGTAAACTTCATGATCATGTTCATGCTGATTATAATACAGATGAATTATTTCTAAATGCAGGCATAAAGGATGGAGAATGGCATTCAGCTGAGCATTCATCTTGTTAGAGTTTCTGGGGTTGTTATTTGGTCTAGTAGCCACACGTTTCTAATTATGGTATTAGATTATGACTGGATCCCCTTGATTTTAACTAGAGTAGTGCCTGTTCTCCTTGCATCATGAAGGAATGATAATTTTCGTCCAAGGTGTAAGTAGAATTTGCCGAAGTTAAATTTTAACTGTGGTATGCTTTTATTTTCAATAAACCATAACTGATTGCACATTAACTAGATATGAATCCATAATAATTTATATTACTTTCTGGTAGCTGGAACTGAATCCCTTAAAAATGAAAAAAAATGCTGAGAAAAATTGACGAGGAAATTAATGTTTATTGGATTCATATGTGTCTTCAAGATCACCCTTGTGCTAGTCAATCAGAACTTTAGAAGAAATCAAACTATTGCAGACTTTTTGCTGTACTTATGCCTAAAATTGTGTCTAATTGGATGACTACTTAAATTTATTCTGTTTCCTTATATGCACTTTCATTGTTAATTATTCCATCTTAAATGGGCAGGTTTCAACTTCTGAACCTACTTCCAGATATTCCAGTAGCGTATCCTCAAATATCAAGATATTTTTGGGTAATCATCGAGTCTTCCTTAAGTCAGGGACAACGTAGTACTTTGGCAGGTGCTCATAGAACAAAATGCTGAATAACAGCTTTCAGATGAGAGTCTTCCTGTCGGCTCCACAGGCTGTCTCCCGTCCTCTCCTAGTAGACCGATTATTAGCCCGTTTCTTCAGTTTAATTTTCCTTCCAATGTGTTATGTAAGAAAGTATGAAATAACACGGTGAAGCATTGAAGAGAAAACCCTGTTAAACTCCTTATGGTGGGGTACCCTGAGATAGAGCAACTGCTGAAACGCATCCCATTCAGAGTCGCTCCGAAAAGATTGTTCTGGATAGAAACAGATATCCAGAGTCTGAAATGGTTCCAACCAGGCGTCTTCAAAGGTAAAGTAAGCCATCTACAAGTCCTCAGTGTTCCTAGTAAGAAGTTTTTTCAATTTTTTTTTTGACCAAACCTTTCATTAGTTGATCATAAGCCATTATCCCTGTAACACTAAAGAAATTGCCATTTTTTTCCTTTCAGAGTTGCATTGCAGTGCGTCACTGTTTACAAAATACACATACTGTGAACAGATAGAAGTTTTGTCTTTTGTAAGATTTGTAGAGTGAATGTTTTTTTTTTTCAAGATGGTGTTATGTTGAATAGTTTTAGGTTTTTGTAAATAGCTGTTTACTAACTTTCGTTTGGCCAGGTGTGTCTGTGTAGCTGGGAGAAGATAGACGTTACAGTTTCCTCAGTTTCCCCTTTCCGCTTCCTGTCGAGCCACCACTACAGACATTTTTGTGTTCGCACAAGTGATCGGTTATGACGTGCAATACTTAAAGTCATGTTTCATCCTCTAAGGAATCTTTTCAAAATGCATATCCAGGAAGCAAACCAGATTGAAGTGTCTCCGTGACTCGCAGAATTCTGACGTGTGTATGGGATAAAAAGCACTCACAGGGATTGCTAACCAAAGTATTTCCAGTCTTGTGGGATTTTGGATCTGATATTGCTGTTAGCATGGGAAATTTGAACATTTTATATCCTAATTTCAGAATTTAGCTTCCACGTCTTTTGGGAAACATGATTATCACAAGAACATAGACTATGTAAATAACCTATTACTAAGACACTACAAATATAATACTAGTATTGCTTGGCTGTTAATTCTATAAAGATGTTACCTATGTCTGTTTTTAAAACATGCATGTATTTAACAGTTTTATCATAGTATTGTCATGGAAAGAAATAAATATATTTTCTTACATCTTACCCTGGTGAATGTGGACGTTATTGATTTGGTGTCTTTTCTCTCATGCTCAAACATCTAGGAAAAGTGACTTTCACTTTGGTTTTTGGTTTTTGGTTTGTTTTGATCTCATAAAAATCACAGCGGTGATAATACAGTCACAGAGACTCTAGCTGTGTTTTTGGTATTTGATGATGGCGTCACCATGCTGATGATTGCACTTTCTGTTTGCTCTGTTAAGTTAGGCTTATATTTTCGGAGAAAAACAACGATTTAATAAGTGAGAACCTTAACTTTTAATTAATTAATGTTTAGAAAATGGGAGCCCAGCATTAGCAAAGGAAGAAGGGAGAAAGAAAAGTGCTGATCCTTAAAGCAAGGGTTTTAATTTATCTCCCAAGATAGCCAAATATTTCAGGAGTTTCTGGGAAGGCATTAAAATTTCAACTTACTGAATCTTGAAATATAGCCACCGACGGAGCAAAACTCTAGTCATTTTAAAGTATGCGGTGCCATTAGAGGCTTATAAAGAGAGAAATGGAGGTCTTTGTCCTCTACAGCTAGCTCAAACTTACCACTAGCAGCAAGCAGAACATGAATGGGCCTGATTTTAGCCTGTAAAAGTGAAAGTCAGTTGTAAATTAGTTGTGAAACACATGTTAATATTTAAAGTGTTAGAAAAGCTCACACATATGGTCTGTACTTTGGGGAATTCTCAATGTAGAACTTGTTCCCAGAAGGTGAGTTCTGCAGCCAAAATGTGTACTGCCATTACCTTGAGGAACTGAAAAAGGCTAAAGAGAAGAATGATGTGCTTATTAGGAAGAAGAAACACAAGAGATGGCTGAATAGATGGTAATGTATGATATCCACCCTCGGCAGTACAGCGTTGGCTAGCAAACCTTGGTCCTTTACAAAAGGACGATAGAATTCATTTTAAATGACCTATACATATGACCCGGTTCCCCTCCCCATGAATGACTAGCAGTAAAACTGATTTCAAGACATTTAGTCTTTATAACCCAGGGAAATTGAGATAATGAGAGATGACTTGAACTGATCCAAAATTAAATTGAAGATGATTTTTATTCTTAGAAGATCCATCTCAGGTTGTGGGGATAAGAAAAGCACCGGAAGATGATTTCGATAAGCTGTCAGATAGAAATAATGTGGGAATGAACAGAGCCCAGTGCATTCATCTTTCTGGTAGCGAAATGCTTGAAAGGGAGAAATCATTTTAAGGTCCAGCTCAGATTTAAATCATCTGTCCCCTTTCGGCCCCAGCCAGCCTGTCACCACTGCAGACATATGTCAGTGTGCCAGCAGCCTGAGAAGAAGGCATAACTGGACTCTCTCTCTCCCTCCCTCTCAGAGAGCTGATGGAGCCGAGGCGTGGAGGCTGAGGAAGCAGTGTTGAGAGTAGATGGCTTGCTGGCTTGCCCTCGCTGCTGCTTGTCCAGTCGCACTGCAGACAGCTCGCACAACCCATCAGAAGTGAACCAAGAGTTCTCACTCGCAGACCCTATTGGCTGGGCCTGGTTTCTCTGTTTCCAAGTTTGTGGTGAAGGCTGTTGCCATGTTTGTGTGACGCTGCGCCATCCTACCCAGGTTCCTGAGCTCACCACTGGTCACCTGGACCATACTGGAGGATGCTCAGCTTCCCTCCCATCCCAGGCATCTTGAAACCTGGGCCTCAACGCTAAGGCTATTATGAACCAAGCATTCCCTGCAAGAGAGATGCTCGCTTTCGACATGACCCTCTTTCTGGCCAGCATTGTACAGGCGCAAAGGCTTGCGTATTTAGACGTCCCCTGCGCAGTGCGGAAGTTGACAGCTCACGACAAAGCCGTAGAAGGAGACCCTGACATCTGTTTCATCAGAGCTCTGCTGGAGCCCCCACTTTGCTCACTTTTTCTTCCATACTTGGGTCATGCAAGCTTCTGCCACTGTTCTTAGCTCCTGGGTCCTTGGTTTGCTGCAGGCCCTGCAGTTTCCCCAGACACCATGCACCTTTGTTTGGAATTCAGAAGGGATGGGGGGAGCCTGGCACAGCCACAGCTTGGTGCAGTACAGGCCACATTTAGGGGTTTGGCAAATCTCTGAATGTGCCTTGAGGGGAGAGAGAGGACAAGGGATCATCAATCACCCTGGTTATTTTACACAGGGTGATTCCTTTGGCACAGTCTCCAGGCATGGAAAGAGGAAGAACCCTCTTTAAACTTCTGTGATTGAACGAGAAGTACCCTGTGGTACCTATAGGGAAATCTTGACTGGATAAATCAATACTAAAGAAAAATTAGAAAGATAAAAGACGTTTATATAATCTTGCACATCATTGACCCTTTTTTAACATTTAACTTTTTTAAAAAAATATTTATTTATTTATTATATATACAATATTCTGCCTGTGTGTATGCCTGCAGGCCAGAAGAGTGCACCAGACCCCATTACAGATGGTTGTGAGCCACCATGTGGTTGCTGGGAATTGAACTCAGGACCTTTGGAAGAGCAGGCAATGTTCTTAACCACTGAGCCATCTCTCCAGCCCTTAACATTTAACTTTTTGTCATTTTAAACATGTTGTATGTTCTATTTAGAAATTGTGTTTATTTATTTAATATATCTTGAAAAGCTTATTAACAGTATTTTATTTATTTATTTATTTGAGACAGGGTTTCTCTGTAGCTTTGGAGCCTGTCCTGGAACTCACTCTGTAGACCAGGCTGGCTTCGAACTCACAGAGATCCGCCTGCCTCTGCCTCCCAAGTGCCAGGATTAAAGGCGTGTGCCACCACTGCCTGTCTATCAACAGTGTATTTTTAAGTCACTGTTCTTTTCGTGGATGTGTAAAATGCCAACAGAGAGAGGATAGGTGGATTATCTCGTTAATATGTAACAGATTTCTCCATATTGCCCATCGTCTTACCAAATGGTGAATGACTTTGGATGTCAAACATGCTTGGCCTAAGTCAGAGTCAGACTTGGTCAGAGTCAGAAATAACACTTGATTTTCCTACTGGTAGCTACTCACATATGTGAGAATTCTCAAAGCCTCTTTGCCATAAAATGTGGTCTTTTACCACTAACCAGTTAATGAAGATTTGGATCTAATTCAGAGTTCTGCTCACTTGCCACTTCCTCCAAGATGTGGCCAACAGACCCAGGGGGCAGACTTATCCAAGGGCTAATGCTGAGCGACAGCTGGAAAGGGTAACCTAATGACTCAGTTTCCTCGGTCTCTGGGCTCCCAACACAGCCACTGTGTTCCACCCTGAGACGCAGTCACTGGAAACACATTTATATGCAAAGAAAATAGATTTGTCAGCTATAAGTCCTAAAATAGATTTTTCTCTCTGAATATGAAATTTCCCTATCCTATGAGTGTTTGACTCACTGTTTAGGGAAGTGAGCAAGTGAGTGGGATATTCTTAGTCTGTAAAAGTCCATAATTATCTGCAGGTATGACTCCAAGAAGCCCCCGGGATTCTCGTGACCTAGCCTGAAGGATTCATGTCCCAAAATGAGTAAGAGGAAACATTATTCCAGCGGTGAGGTTAGGAACCAGTGGCCTTAAAGCTAACAAAGCATTGGTATCCCGAGTGCCTAGCTAAATAAGGAGATACAACAGAAAGAATGAGACCCTTCCGTAAGAGATGTCCTCTGCTGGCCTTGAAGGGATGAAGTGGCCAGCGAGCACAGAGGGTCTGCTGGGCCTCAGAAAACTGCTGCTCCGAAGCCGCCGTGTGTTCTGTTTCATCGTCTCGCCAGCTTCTTGTGAAGACGCTCTCTGCAAATATTTATGGCACGAGTTTGCTTTGGTGAGGATCTCCAGAGTGGTCGACAGCAAGGCCACCGAGGGCCCAGCAGATCGCTGACCCTCAACAACCTGAGACTTCCGAACAAACTCCCAGGAGCTCTGGTTTCCAGGCTAGAGAGGATGAGATCACCAGGTGAGCCTTCCGTCCTTGGCGAGTGGATTTACCCCCCTGGCCTGGTCAGCAGACTGGAGCCAACTGTCATACAGACTTCTTTCACGTCTGAGGTCGTGTGAATATGACCTGGATAACGAATGGGCACATTGTCTCTTACGCAGTGCCCCCATTTTACACCTCTTTCCCATAGTTTCCTCTGACCCCCCCCCCTCTGGCCCCAAGTTCAGCTGGAATGTGGAATGCCTGCCACAGGCACCAAGGTCGCCATGCAGAGGCCCTGCGATCCCTGCAGGCTCTCCTTCCACGGTTCTGTCCGATACTTCATTTTCTCTGACTCGGCTTTCCTTCGGCCAACTTCCTAGCAGGGCTTTCCTCAGCTAATCCTCTGGCCCGGTGCCCCTAACTTTTGTTATTAAATGAGTATAAACGGCAAATTCCTTGATCCTCCCTGGCCTTCCTCCTCAGAGACATTCCTATCCATGTCCTCTCGTGCACGGCCAAGTCAGAGCTGCAGCCCCTTAGTATCAGGCTGTCCAAGGAGGCTGCAGCCCCAAGCTGGGCCCCCCACTTAGAAGTGGGCAGCTGGGACAGCGAGGGGGGCACGCTACATGTTGGGAAACTTCTGTGCCTTTAGACAGCCCTTTGGACTTAAAACAAAGCAGAGGGAGAAGATAGACAACTAGCAAAGACTTCTTCCAAATGCTAAGACATAATGTTCCTCCCTGTCTTTCCAGGAAAGAGCTAGCGCTCCTGGGAGCCACACACTTTCTAGGACAAAGAGGTTTCAGCAAGGGAAAGCAGCAAAAAGAGGTGAGGCAGAGAGGCGGCGTCTGCTGTCATGCCTTGCTCTGGAAGCCAGGGCGAGGCAGAGGCCCAGGGATCACACTGCCTCACCAGAAATAGTTTCAACAACTCCCCTGAGTTCTGGAGGCTATTTCTAGACGTGAAGGCAAAGGAGAAGAGGGGAAAGGATTGAGACCAGACCTAACTGTCCGGAGACGGGCCTGACTCCCCACCAGCTGGAGTAGCTGTTTCCACACCTGCAGCAGGAGAGCCCTGAAAGAACTGACTCTCAGCAGAGCCATGACAAC